AAAGGAAAAATAACCAAAAACAACATAAGGAAACACTAGAGAAGTACATTGCATTTTTTTGTACTTCCTTTTAGGATCAAAGGTAGCAATTCAAGGAGAGAATGATCTTTTCCCAGTTTTGCTAATATCATAGAGAACCCCCAGCATCACTTCCCGCATTACTCTCTCCAGATAACCCATTTGGAAGTTCTGTATCACTACCAGCTCCATGAGGCACCCCAATATTTCCACCCATTAGTCTAGGCTCCTCATCATTTCTCACATTACTACTGCTACCTCCATTAACATTCCCATAATGAGTTTGCAGTAACCCATTATTCACATGAGGCAACCCTATACCACTTCCATCACTGCTCGCTCCCAAATTCTCATAAGACCACTCTATATCATTCCTATATTTTCTGTCGCCAAATCTCCCAAAGGACGTGCCGAAATCACTTCCAACATTGCTCATATCACCCTTAATATTTCCATACATAAACCCTATATCACTTGATCTACTCATTCCAAAGTTCTCACTAAGCAGCCTCATCTCTTTAGAAACATTAATACCAGAAGTGCTGCCAAAAGATGCATGTGGTGGCAAACCCATGTTACCCATAACATTGCTGCTGCTAGCAGTAACAATAGACATGTTCTGACTTTGCTTCCCCTTTTCTTTGCTAAAATAATTATACAAAGACTCTGTAGGGTTCCAATCATCGGGGACAGTGGTGTTTTCCGCATCCCCACCCTCATGAGGAGAAAAAGCACCTAAGGGAAGATTTGCCTCATGCCCGAGGTACTTGATCCGTTTCCAGATCTCTTTTATCTTCTCCTCCAAAAACAAAAACAAACCAGTTAGTTCACAAGTTCCAAATTCATTCAATGGCTTACCTTCTTGAATTTGGGACATGATGATGTTCATCTCCATCTCTTTGTTCTTTCTGTGAGTTTTTGTCAGTTGTTCTTTCAATTTAGCTAATCTATCATTAAGGTATGTCTCTTGGTTCATCATCTTCTTGCACCGATCTACTTCTGGTATCCTCTGAAACCTTGCGAGCAATTCTTCCGCAATTGGGCGTGAAGGCCACACAACCGGCTCCTTGTCGTCTGGGCCATAAATAATGGCAAAGCCACTCACGTCACACAAGATGCTCAACTCACTCAATTTTTTCAACAGGCCTTCCTTCCTTTTTCTGAAGCTGGTTTTCCTAGCACTATCATTCGTTATCCATGCTAGTTTGACCTTCTTCCTAGTCATGGTTGATATGCTATTCTATTGATGGGATTTCTTTGTACCCATACCAAGGAAATTATATAGGAATATGAAGAAGACTCAACAACCTCATTGTAAAGATAAATTGGATTTTATAGAAATCAAGGGTGCAATTCCATTTTGGTCATCCAAATTGTTATGCATTTTAGTTATAAAATCTATGTTATAGATTTTGTAATTATGCCGTTTACTATTAAGTAAAAAAATTTAATCTCTTGTCGGACTAAGTTACGCAATTTGTTACTATTATATGCTAGTGTTGGAAATATATTTGTTCCATACGTAATTCAATGTTACGTATTAAACCACACATAAATTCGTTGGTAAGAAATTAGGAAATTAAAATTAGAGATGAAAATAGGGGTGAGGCAAGATCAGATTGGCTATCATACGCTCATTGCCAATTTGATTTTCAATAGACATCATTTTCCCGCCCCATCCTGACTGTAGCTATTACTAGGGTGGCAATTTTCGATACGACCCAATACACAACTCGAAATCCACACGATTAAATTTTTAGGTCAACCCGCCATGACTCGTTTGATAAATGAGTGAGTTTCGAGTCAACCCACCAACCTACTAAAATACCTATGTAACCCGCCAACCCGCTAAAATACGCTTGTAACCTGCCAACCTGCTAACTCGTTTATTTGTTTATTCTTCATTTTTCTTAATTTTTCTAATTTTTTAGTTCTTTTAGTTGCCACCACTTAGTGGGTCTGATACACGACTCGAAACCCGCATGGGAAATTAGCGGGTCAATTCGACATGACACGTACGGGTCGGGTTTGGATTGAGTATTCTTGACATGTAAACGATCCTGACACGACACGACCCATTTCCAGCCCTTTTTTCTTTAAAAAAAAAATATTTTCTTCTTTTAAATAACTTAAAATTATTGAATATGCACATGGTTAATTGTTTATTTTTATAAGAGTGCTGCTATTTCCACCCACCTGTCCTATTTCCCCACCCACCTTATTTTCAAATTTTTATAGACAAATCTATCCATTTGTAAAATGACTTTTAAGGACTATCTAATTTTCAAACACATGTTCAATAACTAAAAAAACAAAAACTAATTATTTAAAAAAAACAAAAAATAAAAACCCAACAGCCACCAAATCTCCCCCCCCCACCCGACTTGTCAGCCATCCCATCCCGTTGGCGGCGACCCCTCCCCCACCGCCGAAAAATCCTCCTTTCCTCTCTATATCTCTCTATCTAAAGACCTAACTTGGTCGAAACGTTGATATGGAATCTCCTCAATCCCAAATCCCTACTTTTGTCCCTGACCGCCCCACCACCCAACCACACATCCGAATCCCACCTCCTCTTTCCTTCTTTTCTCTTTTACCCTCTCTCTCTTCACCCTACTATTTGTCTTATCTTCCCCATGCACCCATCCACCCTCCCCCTCCCCCTCCTTTTTTCTCCTTAGTTCTCTCCTCCCTCTTCTCGATAGCCACCCCTATGACTGAATTGATTCTTTATTTTACTTTCTTTGTTATTTGGTATGGTTTTAGGTTGAATAACTCAAAAGGGTTATTGGGTTTTGGATTGGCAGGGGGTTGAAGGCTAGCATGCTTTCAATAAAAGCAAGGGCATGCTGTAGGGACTTGGGACTAAAGGGTGTCTTTCGGGATTTATTTGGAATTGTGATTGAAGAAGAAGAATAAGAAGAGGTTG